TAGATTTACGTCATGACGTCAGGTGATCAAAATTAAATGTCTAGCCATCATCTAAGGACAACCTTATTTTGACGTCCAATTACCACGTCAATTATGTTGATGATTTTAGGTTGTGTTGAACGTGACCAAAATCCAATGTCTGATAGATGTCATAGTGGTAACGTCCGCACAATGTCAAGGAGTAATCTGATTAGAAGTTGATAGGTTGAACATTGGACATTAGTTCTGACGTCAACCCGATTTTCATTTCCAAATAAAATCTAACATCCCCAGGACGTTGGGGTACATTGGGGTACAACATCAAAATGACGTCATGTTGACATCCTGTACCTGCAGGGTTTGATTTTTTTAGCTTCACTCTCTCATTTGTCCTTTGCTGAAAGGATGTCAGAAGCACTTCAATAATCAAGCACACATTATTATCATCAGCTCAAGAAGTTTGTTATTTCAAATATAGACGCACGGCGAACGCATGCGAGAAAGTGAAACTGCTCGTGCTTTAGGGGATCTTGTAAACAACAACGGGGCACAGGGCAGATTCAGCTATTCCTCTTGACTTTGTGGCTGTTCATCAAGACAACAACGTTTGTTGAAGCTCAGGTCGACCATGGCTTGTTCTTATATGTATATATTATTACGGTGTAATTAAGTACACCGCAAAATTTAAGGGGGGACACTGCAAACATAAACACAAGATTTAGGGCTTTTTTTCAGTCTGGTCCAAAATTTGCTCTTTAAATTATTTCTTTTATAGCACTTTATCAATTTATGTTTGCACATTTCAATTGGAACTTGACATGTTTTTAAGGCTGTTTTCTCAAAATGAGTTTTGCTCCTGCAGTGAGCCATAAATCTCCACTTCAGCAGCACAAAAAAAAAATCATACTTATATATTGTATTTATATTCTAAATATCTTTTCTAGATATGTTCAAACATAATTTACCTTAGTATGTACAGTGATTTATTCTACAAAACAAAAGCTGAAAAGACTGATTTTAGTATTTTCTGTATTTTGAAGTGATAAAATGATAAATCTTCCCTAAATCTTCTAATATGTCAAACAAGGAGAAGAATAGAAACAAGACATTTGAAAGTGATTTCAGCCAATGTTTAGATTTTTGTGCTAGAAATCTATGCAAATTGACACATATTTAAATGAATGTCATTTACAAATCTAATAGCATTTTCGAAAAATATGTTACCCAAAAAATATGTACAGTACTGTATTGTCAACTTAATACATCTGATGATTATTATTCGTTTGTTTTACCCTTAAAACAAAAACAACAACAACAGACTGCTTGTGCTATTGATTTTATTGTTCATAAACATCACTATTGGCTTTACCCTTCATAACAGGCAAAATGTAATATCAGAAGTGAACAAATCTTTATACAGGGAGGAAGGAAGATAGAGAGAGAAGGCAAGGGGAAAAAAGAGAGACAATCTGAAATCTCTCAAGGACCATATGGACGGCTGCGAGTTGCCTACCATATGCTGAAGGCTTTTGTCATGGAAATAACTCTTTATTTTTTTGGCACTTCATATTATTGTTCAGCCAGGCTGGGCACTTCCACAAAAGAAAAATAAAACAGGAGAGAAAAGAGGGAGACAAAGAAAAATGAGCAGATCCTGGTGAACAGAGAGAGAATGATTAGCATTGTTAATATTGCTGGTAGCTACAGCAGGTAATGAGCTAATGAAGTACCTGATCCTGTTTAGCCTGTCCAGGGTTAAACAGCTCAGAAAAGGTAAAAAGAAATAAAAGCAAAGGGAATTGGCTCACATGCGGTTTCTCATTATTGCTGAGATCTATTTACACACATATTTACACTTCTGCGTTCACTTTCTCAGTCTCTTCAGGTATCATACTTTTTCCGAACGTTTGTGGATAATGATATTTGTCTGAAAACAAAGAGATGATGGTAGTCCTTTGGAATAGCCTTTAAAAGAGCTTTTCTATATTATATCAAGCTTTGCATAATTAGAGCTGAGTCTGAATTCAAGTCTTATTACATTGGAAAATATCCAGATGGATATTCATAACAGAGAGTCTGTCGATTCTTCACAGCTGTGAATGTGCCAGAAATGTGACGGGGTGATTTAGGAATAAAGGTAGGATAAATGTCCATCAGGGTCAGAAATGGATCAAGACCAAATATTCTTTGAATATTTAAATGAGATAAGAATGATTTGGTAATATTTGCTTTATATATTAATGTCGTCTGTTAGATAACGTCAGCATACATTTTATTTTAATTCCATTTAAAAAATTGTTTTATTAATCAGTTCTAGAAAAAAAGACCACATTTTTATTTACTTTCTCTTTAATAGGTACATATTTTGAGAAGAATGTTTATTTGGGTTTTATTTGGTTAACTAATTATCACATGTCTTCCAAATTTTAAATAATAATATTGTAATTAAAATCTTAGAAAAATAAATGTCCCCAAACAATTGTATTGGAAATATTATTTCAAATATTGAAAACATGTTGTCGGTAGTTTTGAAATGAGTGTAGTTAAATCCAAATTTACTGAAAGATAATTCTACTCATTTGAAAAAAAGTTTTGAACTCAGTGTTGTAGGTAATGAGTTAATTATATACCTCATTACTTTAACTTAAATAGAGTAAGTTCACAGTACTCATATAGATTTGTTTTTTACTCAAATGGTTTGTAGCAATCGGTTTCCTCAAACGGCTTGAGTTGCCTTAACTTATTGGGTTTTACTGTGCTCAAATTGCTTCATTTACTCAAAAGTTCACACTATTGCTTCATTAAGTTCACAGAACTCATTAGGATTCGTTTTTTAATTTAATGGTTTGTTGCAATCGATTTGAGTTACCTTAATTTTTGGGATTTACAGTGTATTAATGGAAAATCTAGAGAACTGATAATAATTTTGACATGGTATTGTAATGATTTAATACAGCTGCATGTCATCAAGGTTGCATGTATTTGATTAAAAATGCAGCAAAACCCAACACAATCTCACGGCAATTCCTGTTTTTTTTTTTTATTTAGTGGCTGATTCATATGAATTCGTACAATGTCATTCGTTTAATTCAGTATGCTTTAGTGCGATTTGCTTATCCCCCAATGATGGTTGGGTTTAGGGGCGGGGTGGGGTAACAAGCATTCTTTTAAAAATCATACATTTTTGAACGACTGAAAGAATTATAGCCACTAAACTGACAAAGCTTAAAATAATTACGTACCCTCGTGAGATCAGGCTGAAAAAAC